TGTACTAACGTAAAAGAGAATTGTTATAAAATGATGTATAGGTGGTACATGACGCCAAAGAAAATAGCAAATATGAACCAAAACATGTCTAATAAGTGTTGGAAATGTAAAAAACATGAAGGTTCATTTTATCATATGTGGTGGACATGCGAGAAAGCTGTGGATTTTTGGACAAAGGTCCACAGCGAAATGCAAATTTTTTTTTGAAATGTTCCTTTAAAAAAGCACCCGAATTTCTGCTCTTAGGACTTAGAATGGAAGAGCTGAATGTAACTAAAAAGACTATGTTATGGTATATGATCACGACTGCAAGAATGGTGTATGCACAGTGTTGGAAACAAGAAAGAACACCAGAAATAGAAGAATGGATACGAAAAATTCTGTTCATGGCAGAGATGGACAAAATTACGAAGAAACTGAACAACAGGGAAGATCTTGACTTTTTTGAAGAATGGAATGACTTTAAATTTTACCTAGAAAAAAACTGGGATGTGAAGCACAATTTACTATGTTTAGAACAATATTGAGATTAATTGATGTTATCTTAAGATGTACTCGAGGGTCAAAGGGGGAAACATTGCGGGAAGCCACCAGGAGGGAGGGGGGATATGGGAATATAGGTATTGGTTTAAGAATGATAATAGGTTTTTTTAAAACTGTAAGAGGTTATTTCCATGAAAATAAAAAATTCTTTTACCAAAAAAAAAGAGCCTAGGAGTTATAACAGACTCAGCATTACTCCTAGAGAAGCAAGTTAATGGAGCTTCAAAAAGATGCTTTCTTCCATCTCTATTTAGCTCAGATGCCCCCTACCTAGACTCAGCTGATCTGCCCCCCTGCCACAGTAATATCAAGCCTCGATTACTGGTATACACTGTACACTGGCCTGTTCTTGAGATCAGCTTGGAGACTCCAGCTGGTACAAGATGCCATAGCTCAGGTACTATCAGGAGCTAGGTGGAGCATACATATTACATCCAGTCTGCTGTCACTTCATTGGTTGCCCACCAGTTAACAGATTCAATTCAAAGTACTGGCTATCACATATAATGTCCTTCATGCCTTGAACCCTCATATCTGCAGGAGTGCCCCTTCTCCTATCCCCTACCATGACAGCTTCACTCTTCTGAGCAGGGCCTTCTGCAGTTGCTGCCCTGTAAATGGGTGAGATCAACAACTGCCCATACACATGCATTCTCTGTTGTGGCCACCACCATGTGGAGTGACCTGCCTGAGATGGTCAGGAAGATCAGGGTGGATCCTGGGGAGGAACCTCAGTGGGGTATAATGACATAGTCACATATGTCACATCCTCTTTGAGTAGAGCCAGTTTGGTGCAGTGGTTAAGAGTGCGGACTCTAATCTGGGAGAACCGGGTTTGATTCCCCACTCCTCCACTTGCACCTGGCTGGATGACCTTGGGCAAGCCGTAGTTCTGACAAGAGGTGTCCTTGAAAGGGCAGTTCTTGAAAGACCTCTCTCAGCTCCACCTACCTCACAGGGTGTCTGTTGTGGGGAGGGGAAGGGAAAGGAGTTTGTAAGCAACTCTGAGACTCCGAGTGAAGGGCAGGGTATAAATCCAGTCTCCTCCTCCTCTTCTTCTATAATGTTAATAAATAAATGATCTGCTAAGAAGCAGATGATTCTTTTACAACTTGCATTAATATATTATGTTACCTTAGACAATACATCATTACTATATTTTGATTGTTATTAATAAAACACTGTTTCTACCCTGTAAGTGACTTCTGGCATACTTCCAGCTGCTCATGCAAATGTGGTAAAAGCTGGCCCATGGTCTCATCTCCAACACAACAGCCAACAACATTTGGGTTTTCATGAGCTCGTTGCATTATTTTTATCCATGATTTATCAATGTTTTGAAAACGTTTCGCTTCCTAAATAGAAAAATGGGAATGAATATGTGAATTCGTACCATAGGACACTCCCAAGTTCAAACTGGTAGTAAAGTATGTTTAAAGAATAATATTCACATAATGGAGTAATTAAAGATTTACCTGGGGTAACTGCTTGGCAATATCTCCTCCTACAAAAACAGCTTCAAGGTAAACCCAAAGGTTTTGTACAACCAACCATTCTTCAATTATATCACTGGAGGTGCTGAGTTTGAACACCCAGTTCTGAATATCTTTTTTAAATGGAGCATTGTATCTAAATTAGGAGCCAGAAATTAGATCATGAAGTTCAATTACATTTTACATGTTACTTGCTGAATTACAGTTAACAGACTATTTTGACTTTATTCGTTCAAATGTGTCTAAAGTCCATGGTTTGGCATAGGCAGAATGCTACCTGTGGGCTCATACAATCTTCCTCTCTTGTGTGCTCTTCCACTGCCCTTTCAGTTCTGCAACTAACCATGGTTTGCCTTGTATCAACATGAATGCTAGCGATCGCCTCAGTTAGTACAAAATCAGCAACGATGTCTGGAACTGGGTTTGGAAATAGGGTTGCTAGCCTCTGGTTGATGCCTGGAGTTCTCTTATAACTGATTTCCAGACTACTGAGATCAATTCCCCTGGAGAAAATAGCAACTATAGAAGGTAGACTTTGTGGCATCACATTCCTGCTGAGCTGAGGAGGGCTCTTTTTGTAGCAGGTACTCATTTGCATATTAAGTGACACACCCCTAATGTAGCCAATCCTCCAAGAGCTTACAGTAGCTCCTGTAAGAAGAGCTCTGTAAGCTCTTGGAGGATTGGCTACATTAGGGGTGTGTGGCCTAATATGCAAAGGAGTTCCTGCTACAAAAAGAGCCCTCCCCTTCCCAAACTCCACTCTCCCCAGGCGGTGCCTGCCAGTCTCCAAGAATTTCCCAAGCCAGAGTTGTCAACACTATTGTATAGTGTCATTTGGGCTAACTATGATTAACATTAAACTGTACTGTTAATCATAGTTAACTCCATAATTGGAAAGACACTTTAAATCACATAAATGGATAGCATGACTTCTGCACTGAGCCAGTATTGCTAACCTCAGTCCAAACATTACTATGGGGTTTCTGGTGATCCCTAGAGCTACCCTTGTCACTTCAGGGTAGCTCTAGGAATCACCATTCATCAGGAACTCTATGGTCAGAACTTCCTGTAAGTAGACAAGACCTTATTTTTACTTTTTATTTTTCTCCCTGGGATGCTGCCCCCCACAACCCTCCTGCCTCAAGAACTCCAGGCCCCACTTGGAGGATGGCAACCCTAATATGGCGGTGAGATTTGACAGCACCTATCTGTTGTGCTGGGACATCCTCAAACATCCTTGTTGGAACAGTGGTGAGGCTGGGGCACTCAGGATAGAAACCATATTAATAAAAATGCATTAAACTCATTATAAATCACTTTAACCTACCTGTTACTAAGTAAAGAGCCCAGGACCATTAAGCTGTCTTCCATCAGTGTAATAATTTCAGCAGATTCATTTCCCTTGAGAAGCAGCTCTCCTCTACCCTTGAATGATGAAAAACTCAGGGTCTGATTTGCCCAACTGTCAACCACCTGACCCAGTTTAGCTTCAATATCTTTTTCTTTTATAGCAGATATGCAAATGTCCTGGCAAAGCAGAGCATATTCATTATGATATATAAATACTAAAAATTGTGATTTAAATCATTCCAATGTCTACATGTTTGGGTGGGATGCTAAAACATCCAAATACTAGTACAGAGATAACTGAACAGACTTTTCTAAGGCAAAGGATTCATGTGGCCATTTGAGTTGCAAATACAAAAACTGGAAAAAGGTTAAATGTACTCTAGGCTTACATTCAAATAATATGCACACAAAGCATCCAGAATTTTCCTCTGCATGTTCATGCATTTTCTGCCAGGCACTTGGGAACTTGGAACCAAGCTAATTAACACTGCAGTGAAGAGACCTTCAATATATCCTTTACTTTTTGAATAAAAACTAGTGCCTTCACTGCAGTGCTTTGGGCTTCATGGCTTGCCATTCTAGGAAGTATTGGAATTCAGCCTCTAAGCAAGAACATTTTGCTTTTCAGTTTCAATTCAGTTTGACCCTTACTAGAAACAGTTCAGTTTAAGGTTTCTTACTTGTGCACCTTTGTGGTCACAATAAAGTTAATTGCCTGTTATTTATATTGAATGTGGCCTCCTCTTCATGATACTTCATAATCAGTCTACTGTGCCCTCGCTTTAGTTACAACTATAGGGTGTTTTTGCCTTAATAGAATCATAGAATGTTAGAGTTGGAAGGGATCTTGCAGGTCATCTAGTCCAACCCCCTGCACTCTGCAGGAGCATAGCCGAAAGATGGTCGTCCAGCCTCCGCTTGAAAACATCCAGCGAAGGAGCATCCACCACCTCCCGAGGCAGACTGTTCCACTGCTCAACCACTCTTACAGTTAGGAAGTTTCCCCTGATATTTAGCCGGTAACGACCCCCTTGTAATTTCCACCCATTAGATCTAGTCTTGACCTCCAGAGCAAGAGAGAATAGATCTGCTTCATCTTCTACATGACAGCCCTTCAAATACTTGAAGACTGCAATCATGTTCCCCCCTAAGCCTTCTCTTTCCCAGGCTAAACATACCCAACTCTTTCAGCCTTTCCTCATAAGACTTAGATTCAAACCCTCTCACCATCCTGGTTGCCCTCTTCTGGACATGCTCGAGCTTGTCAACATCCTTCCTAAAATGTGGTGCCCAAAACTAGACACAGTACTCCAAGAATAGAGCGGAATTACCACCTCCCGTGATCTGGACACAATGCTTCTGTTAATGCATCCTAAGATTGCATTAGCTTTCTTCACAGCCACATTGCACTGCAGGCTCATGTTTAGCTTGTGATCAACCAGAACACCCAGATCCCTTTCACATGTGCTGCTGTCAAGCCAAGTCCCTCCCATTCTATATCTGTGCCTTTGATTTTTTGTACCTAAGTGTAGGACTTTGCACTTATCTCTATTGAAATTCATTTTGTCAGCCCACTGTTCCAGCCTATCTAGATCATTTTGAATCCTGACTCTGTCTTCTTCAGAATTAGCAATCCCACCTAGCTTTGTGTCATCTGCAAATTTGATAAGCATCCCCTCTATGTCTTCCTCCAGGTCATTTATAAAAACACTGAACAACACCGGGCCTAGGACCGAGCCCTGCGGCACTCCACTCAAGACTTCCCTCCACATAGACGCAGAGCCATTTACGAGCACTTGTTGGGTACAATTTTAAAGTATTTAAAAATAATACTTATTTTTAAAATTGTTTTAAGCATTGAGCAGGTATCTTTTGTTGCCTTTTAACACCAAAAGTCTTCTCAGTGTCTTCAGCCTAATTAAAGTTTTTAAATGCTGGAGGCATACGGGTTTTTAAACATTTTGGACCCTTTATACAGGAGGGACAGCCCACCTGGGAATACCATAATTTGTTGATGAAATTTACTTTGCATGTGCTCAGAAGCTGACTCTTTACCTCATCTCATAACAGTAATCTATGCTACTGATTTACACTTTAGAGATGCCTGAATTCTAAGCACATTCATTATTAACTTGAGGAATCATATCATACTAGCAAAAATGCCCCCAAAAGACTGAAAAAATGTTGTTTCCCAAATCCACATTTATCAACCTCCAATTTAAAAAAACCTAAATTTCAGAATGTTTCAGTTTGCTGAAGTATGTCTCAGTCCTGGGTATGTCCTCAGTCACTTTCAATTGGAATATTTGGTGATAGCCTAAGTATGCGGGCCACGGTGGTTCAGAGGTTAAGATGCTGTCCTGCAGACCAGAAAGTCTGTAGTTTGGCTAATCGAGACCCTAGAGCCATGTGACGGAGTGAGCTCCTGTCTCTGGCCCCAGCTCCTAGCAGTTCGAAAGCAAGAAATTGCAAGTAGATAAATAGGTACTACTTCGGTAGGAAGGTAACAGCGTTCCGTGTACCTTGGCGTTTAGTCATGCTGGCCACATGACCATGGAGAAGTCTTTGGACAGCACTGGCTCTTCAGCTTGGAAACGGAGATGAGCACCACCCCCTAGAGTCGGATTCAAATGGTTTTCCAGCAAGGAAAACCTTTAACTTTACCTATAAGTGTATGCAAACACTCAAAGGAACTGTGGAAAATGGATGTATTATTTTATTTCCCCCAATGCATTTCAGGTCAATGTTCTTTATCAAAGGTACCAGAAGGCAATAAGCATACACATTAAAATGGAACAATTACTCAATTTAAAAAAACCTAAATTTCAGAATGTTTCAGTTTGCTGAAGTATGTCTCAGTCCTGGGTATGTCCTCAGTCACTTTCAATTGGAATATTTGGTGATAGCCTAAGTATGCGGGCCACGGTGGTTCAGAGGTTAAGATGCTGTCCTGCAGACCAGAAAGTCTGTAGTTTGGCTAATCGAGACCCTAGAGCCATGTGACGGAGTGAGCTCCTGTCTCTGGCCCCAGCTCCTAGCAGTTCGAAAGCAAGAAATTGCAAGTAGATAAATAGGTACTACTTCGGTAGGAAGGTAACAGCGTTCCGTGTACCTTGGCGTTTAGTCATGCTGGCCACATGACCATGGAGAAGTCTTTGGACAGCACTGGCTCTTCAGCTTGGAAACGGAGATGAGCACCACCCCCTAGAGTCGGATTCAAATGGTTTTCCAGCAAGGAAAACCTTTAACTTTACCTATAAGTGTATGCAAACACTCAAAGGAACTGTGGAAAATGGATGTATTATTTTATTTCCCCCAATGCATTTCAGGTCAATGTTCTTTATCAAAGGTACCAGAAGGCAATAAGCATACACATTAAAATGGAACAATTACTCCTATAATCACTATATGTATCTAATATACGTACAATCAACATGTTTCTATTATAACAGGCACTGATACATTTTAAATTATTCCTCTTTAAATCAGGTTTAGCATCTGCATCGTAGAAGGACCAACACATAGTTTCATCATTCTCAGATTTTATTTCAGGTCACTGTTCTTTATCAGAAGTACCAGGAGGTGATAAACAAGCATACACATTAAAATGGAACAATTACTCCTGTAATTACTCATCACTTAGCATCTGCATCATAGAAGGACCAACACATACTCCACAATATTTCACATTGTGTTGTGGCAGGATGATTTTATCAATGACTCTCAAGTCCTGCACAAACCTATAAACAGGGTTTCCATGTTCATCAAATTTCCCTTCCTTTTTGATGGGCAATATAGGAGTACAAGTGGAGACCTGCGAGAAACTTGTGGGATGGTTATCCCCAGGGGTCATTTCGTTAAAAAAGAGCTGCAGGAGCTCATTAGCATATCTAATAAGCTATTAGTATAATAGCTCATTAGCATATGCCACGCCCCCTGAGGGGAAGCAAAGGGGGGCATCTTCAAAAGCCTCCAGTTCCGTTTCGCA